GAATTGTAAGCCTTGGGCGGGTGGAAGCAGAGAAATGGCCCATTTAACACAGTGGATTCCCCCCGACCCCACCACACACTGCACAGGCAAATGGAAGTGGGTAGAAAGATGGGGTTAAAAATGGGAGGACTGATTCAAGATCTGTTTAATGAGCAGTTCTCCCCCAGCCCCACACTGGGGAACAGCTATCCCTCATGCCCAGGCAGAGCTGGTGTTTCATGTTTTGGAGAGGTCTTCTAGGCACAACTGAAAAAAAAAGCTATTGTGCTGAAAACGAAGGGAATTCAGTGAAGGCTACACACTGAATGTTGAGAACTCAACCTTCTTCCCAGAGTCCCAGAAAACACGAAGCCAGATTCATACACTCCAGGCAGGATATTGGATGTGTCTTCCCCGGAGGATCTGAGCAGTCCAAGAGAAAAGATATAAAAATACCAAAATCAGAGGCTCCCCAATGAAATGGTTCATTCAACTCACCCTAATAAACATAAGACCACAGCTGTGTAGCTGGCCAAAGTGAAGTCCATTCCACAGGAGGATCCTGCATTCCATTGCTCACTCCAGGAAACATCTGAGTGAATTCTTCAGTCTGCCCCTCAGGTGGACTGTCCTTATGGAGAAGCCTTTGGCTCAGACATTGACCCCTTCCCCCACCAGCATGGACCACACTTGCAGGACAGGCCTCTAAGGAAGCGCATGGCAAGCCCGGCAGGCAGGCATGTTCGCAGCCCCCTGGCCTTCCAGTCTCACCTTCAGGGCCCTCATTGCTCTTTATTAATTCTTTCCTTTCAGTCAACATTTGTTAACTCCTGTGGCAATTATTAGCATCCTTTTCACATTCTTTAATCCCTCAACTCTACCTCCATCTCCCTTATCTTCAGTAAATTATCTTACCTCCTATTTTACTCAGAAAATGGAGGTCATCTCATGTGAAGCCCTCTTCATATGCAAATTGCTTTCCAATTATTTTTGCCCCATCGCCTTCACTTCTGTACAGATTAGGCGTGTCCTGTTTCTTCCAGCCTGTCCTGGGGCCTTGTCACACCAATAACCTTTGCTTTGTCTTGCATCTTCAATTCATTCCCTTCCCCCACTTGTGAGAACATGTGCAGTGGACACTGTGATGTGCACTCATTCCCTTTCAGGGCTGAAGGGTTTCTTCCCCAGACGCTGGGAGCGCTGCTGGAATGCAGCCCTCCGTTCGGAATGGCCTCAGCAGAGGGAAGTCAGCTCACTAAAGGGCACACCTATTTCTCCGGGCACCTTTTCTCTATTGACTGGCTCATGTGGGGATATGCAGACCCAGCCCTTTCACCTCAACTCTGGACAACGTTGAAGGGCATTCCAGCTTCAGGGCTCCTTTCTGTTGGCTCGGGTCCAAATGGAGACTGCACCTCTGCCCAGCTTCTCCTTTTCTTGCCTCCCACAGTTACCCCAAGAGCGCTCCCTGAGAGCTAGTCTCCATCTCAGAGGCTGTACCCCAGGGTACCCTCTCTGTGACAGAAGGTCTGTATATTATGGACATTTAAAATTTTACAGTTGCTCTTCTAAGAACTGCACAAATTTGCATTCCTGTCAACAATGCAGAAAAGTGCCCCACACCCTAATTGCCCACTAGGTATTATCAAACTTTCAAATCCTCGCTATTTCCTAAGTAACAGGCAGTGGCTCCTTGCTTTATTCGTATTTTTAAAATTATGAGTGAGGATATTTTCACATATTTGTTGGCCCTTTATATTTCTTTCCCTTTTATCGGCTTATGTTTTTATCCATTTTTCTATTGGATGGCCATCTTTTATATATTGATGTTTAAGTGCTCTTCGCATAGTGAGAAAATTACAAATAAGTTTTTCAGTTTTCTCTTTGTTTTGGCTCTGCTTAAGACATTTTTTGACCACTTAAAAGTTTCACATTTTTAATTAGTTAATGTTATCTATATTCTTCCTGTGCTTCTTGGTGTCCTGTCATGTTTAAATTACCATTCCCCATTCTAAGATTTGGAAAATTCAATAGCATTTTCTTTAAAACTTCGCTCAGATGTCATTGCTATCACAAAGAAATCCCTGAGTACCTTGGCCAGAAGTTAGCCCCCAATTCCTCCCCCCTTTATATAAAAATCACATTGTACATCACATTCTGCCTTACAATTACAGTTATTTTCATTATTCTCTAAACTCTTCTAGTAGATTGTAAGTAACTGAGGGAAGAAACTCCAGTATCTAGAATATGCCTTGCATATAATGACACTTAAATATATATATGTGATTGAATTAACTTGTCTTTTTGATTATGTGGTTCTTTTTTACACTAAGGGTGAGTGTGTGTGTGCGCGTGCGCACGCGCGCACGCGCGCGTATCCAATCCTAACTAATTAGATATAAATTTGTGTGAAAATTTGTGACCAGTTCTTTTTTGCTTAGAAGAACTGTTCTGCCATCTCCAGATCTGAGCCACACCTGTCGAGGACTAACTGCAAGAGCAGCACCTGAAGACTGGAGTCTAAGGGCTTGCCAGGTGACTGGTGGCCAGAACACTCCTAAGTGAGCAGGCAGGTCAGGCAAGATAGTTCCTAGCACCAAGGGTGGCATGTGGGGAGCCAAAGCACAAAGTGGCCCTCCCCCAACACACCTACACATACCACACACAGAGTATAAATGGGGCTGAATGACCTAATACCATGACCATTCTGCCCCCACTAGTGGCATAGATTCCGCCTTGGCCATAGGTCTGTCTGGGGAGGTTCTTGATGGTGTTGAAGACCAGCTAAGGTAGGTAGTCAGGCTCTCAACTAGTTAAAAACATTGAGTGATCAGCTTGGATGGACAAGCCCACTGCAGCTCCTATGCCCACTATCCATTACTGATTCCATTTCCTCTTTTTCCTTCTCACTTGAGCCCATTCAGATATGGCTTTCAATCCACCAAAACTGCTCTTGTCAAGGCCATCAGTGAACTCTGGTGGTCAGTGCTTGGTCCTCACCTTACTTGACCTGCGAGCAGCAGCGCTGACCTGCCTGATGCCCCCCTCCCAGTCCCCAGAAGGCTTCATTTGACTCCCAGGGCAGGGCACGACGCTGACCCAGCTTTTTTCCTGCCTCACTGGATGCTTTCCTCTCCTCATTTGCTTGTCCTTCCTCTTCCTTCTGAGCTCTTAACACAGGGTAGATCTAAGGTATAGTCCTTGGACTGCTTTCCTTTTCTGTCTGTATTCATTTTCTTGGTGATCCCATACAATCTTATGGCTTTCAGTTCTATCTGCCAACAAATTCCGAATTTTATCGCCTCTCTCCAGACCCATAGATCCAACCGCGTAGTCAATATCTCATCTAGCTGTCTAATAGACATCTCAGACTTACCATTCCAAACCTGAACTCCTGCCCTTCCCCACATCTGCTCTTCTCACAGCCTCTCCATTTCCGTAATTGACAGCACCAACCAAGTCGTTTTTCAAACCAGTAACCCTGATGTCATCCTTTAGTCCTGTCTTTCTCACCACAATCTGTCAGCAGACCTTTTGACTATACCTTCAAAGTACACCCAGAATCTGATCACTCGTCATCGCCACCACTGCTAAACCAATACCCTAGTTACTTAACTCTCCTGTGCGTCTCTTTCCCTGTCAGTAATTTAAGGGTAATAATGGATTACAACTTACAGGGTTAATGTGTGGACTAAAGGAAATAGTTTATGTAAAGAACATAGCACAGTGCTGAGCAGGTGGTTCACAATCAATGTTAGCTTCTGTTATTTCTGGCTTTTCTAGAAGGTTTTAAGGAGATTTGACTTGTAAAACTGAAATCATCAGCCCCTTTTCATAATAACTAAATTTTATTCTTCAACACATGCAATTTCCAGTTTTTAAGATTTCAGTTAAATGAATTAAAGAAAATAAAATGTGCTACTGCGTTCATGATGTAGCTTCCAAAACATAAGGGAAAAATTCACCTTTCCCAGTAAAACTGTTACAAATAAGAACCAAAGAAAGTATTACATAGCACAATGGCAATTTGAAGTATTAGAATTCTTGCCTAGCAATAATTTTCAGCTAATCAGACAACTTTAGCCTAGAAAATATTTTAAATTCAAGGTTATATGAGATTGTTAATATGACATTTCACAGCTTACAGTAGTTTCACAACCTGAACTTTGGGGATATGAGGAAAGTCATGGAATGTTTCTACAAAAGGTGGGATAACTGCCCTCACGTATATAAACCGGCCTCATGTTATTAACCTGTAGTCCCATTTAATCTGTCATCCCGACTAATTATCTGAGTTGTCAACTATAATACAATAAGCCTTAATTATATAGGAAGCATCTTGGGTAAGTACCCAAATACATAAATTAGACTCATGGATATCTCTAGTAAATGAAGAAAAATCATTGCACCATATAAGCAGAAAAATAGTTTCAGAACATTTGTCCTATTAATGCACCCCATTTGCTAATATATGGTAAGAAAAGGTTTTTGAATAGATAAGAAAAAATGTTCATCTAATTTTAATGTTTATGAAACGTCACATTTATTCTTTATTCTTTCATTCATTCTCTTTCCTCCCTCTCATCCCCCTACCCTCCCTTTCTCCCTCTCCCCCCATATATATATATCACCTACCATGTCTACCATGTGCTGGGTAATAAGAAAAAACAATGGTGAATTATTTTGTAAAAAATAAAATATAAAAATATTGTAAAAATATTTTAATCCTTTTCTCTATCTCAAGAACTAGGTAAATAATGGCCTTGGATGTTTTAAGAGGGGTGAAATAACTTCAAAAACACTAGAATACTGTGTTTAACTTGTTATTAACTTTAGTTTATCCATATTATATAGCAAACACTGGCATCCTGATATATATGTGGTATATATAATATAAAAAATTATATTTTACATTATATGCAAAAGTTACTTAGTAAAAGTAAACTCCCATGTGGGATCATTTTAGCTAGTCTGTATATACTTTACATGCTCACTTTTATTTATCTGTTTATTTTTTGTAGGAAGTCCTGGCTGAGCAAGGTTGGAAGTCCTAGTTCTCGCATTGACCGCACGGACTTCTCTAATGAAAAAACCATCTCTAAACTTGAATATTCTAATTTTAGTATTCGATACTAATAGAAATAAAAATTAATGTTCATAACACAATAGACAGTATATATTCTTAGGTCTATGCATTAGGATAGTAGTAGCAGAGTAGAGTAAAAAAAGGGACTCTGTTCTGAAAGCTACAACATTATATGTATTACTAAAATGTCTGACATTGAAATAGATTCATTCAACTGAAATAGTTTCATTCACCTATGTTTTTAACAAGCAAAATATAGTATCCTAAAGTAAACAATGTCATTACAAAATATTTAATATTAATATTTAATTTAAACTTGTTTCGTGGAAACTAATTCTAATGAATGTTAAGCATACATGTTATTTGGCTAGGCTAGACATAAAATAATAAAATTAACCATTTAAAAATTATTTTAGGTACTGTTGTCTGAATTGAATACTAAAACCTTCCAGATAAAGATTTGCTATTAAAGTTAGTAATTTTAATTACTCAAAAAAAACCTGGTAATTAGATATAAATGTATATAATGATCAGTATAATCATAAAATAATATCAATAAAGACTTAAATTTTTAAATTCTGATTGAGAACATGATTTAGCCCTTGGGTTGGAGCTCCTTAATGCATTCTGTGAACTCTGTTGTTCTATACGGTGAACAGATGAGTGATGTTAACTGATGAGAACCCACAATTTCAGTATAGCAAGCAGCAAGATTTGTATCAACAACCATCCATGATGGATATCCTTTAACCAGAAAAGGAACGGACCGAGAGTCAAAATAAATCATATTATTCCCCAAACTTGGCCTATCATGCAAATGATTTTTAAGCAACAGAATATTTTAAGGGGAAATTTCATTTCTGTACCATAGAATTACACTATTGGGAAAGGGAGATCTTTAACTCAAAATACTGGGGAATTTCAAATGGGGTATATACTTGCATATATCATTCATTAAAACAAAATTTTCCCTGGAATTTAATACATAAAGAAAGTGAAAAAGCACAACCAGCATGACGGAAATGGGGACGGGGTCCCCGAACCCCTGCACACCTGGTCTCACTGTTCCTCCTGCATCCTGTCCTCCTCAGACAATTTCAGGTTCCTCGGGAACACAGGTTAGAGACCCTCATCCTATCTGTGGAAGAAATTTCCACTGCTACACTCCAGGGCACAGAGAAAGAATGCAGGGTTCTCTCCTCTACCTGCTGCAAGATCAGAACTGAGAAAAGGAGACGAAGGGATGGCTGACTTCGTTCACTTGGAAGGTTAACTCTATGGATGGTGATAATATTGATATCAAATATATATAAGGCAACACAACATTAGGGAATGACAAAGATATTATTTAAAACTTTCCAAATATGCTTAAAATAAAGGAATAAAGAGCTTTCCCATTATGTTAAAACCATCATCATTTTAAGTATTGTATGTGTCAAATATTATACAGAGGATCAATTGTGACACTCATTTGTATCCTTGTAGTTCCCACTCCTGGTTCAAGGGAGGTAGACTAGTCTTTGTGTTCCTTTACCTCAAGGAGGGTTTTGGTGCCAGTTACCCTGAAGACAACTTCCCTTCCAAGGTTTTATTTTAAAGAAAGCATTATGTTGTGAGTTGAGGAAAAAGATAAATGCAGGCCTTTAGCGGGAAAAGGAGAAGCAGAAGTGACAAGAGCCAAAGGGACAAGGAGATTGTCCTTAGCTTTGGAAGAAGACCAAAGGCTGTGGATTTCCCAAGTGGTGGAGACCTGTGCCATTCTCCCCGGTGGCACCTCTGGGGGTGGTTACACCTGAGAAAGGGGCAGCTTGGTACACCCAGCAAAGCTGGGCCCCAGCCCCAGGGGCTCCCAGCTCTGGCAAGACTCCTGCCCCCAAAAGTGCGGCAAAGTTTCTGATTACAAAGGGCCATGGTGGGTGGGACAGTAGCCATGGTAACTGGTATGGACTGGAGACACGAGAAGTCTTTCCTGAATGTTTTCTCTGCATAAGGACCTTGACATGTCCTTCTGAGAGAGGGTGCAAAGTACCGGATTAACCGATTTAACATCCCACCTCCCAGACAGGTGAGGCTTGAGGCAGGCTCAACTTGATTTAGAGAAAATAGACATTTCTTGCGCACTCAAGTTTGAAAAAAGATCTGTCTCTTTATACATTAAAAAGGCTAAATAATTTTAGGGAAAAAAATGATCTCATATGTGTCACCAGTATGTGACTTTTTATTACCCTGCCATCCTCTGACAGTTCCCTTCCCAGCTCTTGTTATAAGGAAATCACACTTGGCTGGCACAATCTTCTAACTGCACAAAATGAATCACATTAGTCAAGTGTGCCTAATGATTAATATATAACAATTCTATTACTGAATGAAAAGTGTAAATAATGATTAAAAGTAGATGTTCATGAATGAGTAGAAAGCAAGGGAAAAAAAGTAAAGCAATTCTTAAAATTTTACATTTTAACATTAATATGTCAAACTTCATATGGAACTTCACAAAGAATTTTTAATTTACATAATTTTAGATAATCACAAACTGTGATACATCTAGTTTTGTCAGAATTAGATATTTTTAAAAAATAATATTAAGCAAAAGGTGGTATCTACTTCAGTGACTATCAACCAGGGGTCTCCATACTGCACATGCCCACACCCTTCTCTGGAAACGGCATACCAGAGTTGTGGAAGTATGATTTATAAAAGTATACTTTATTATTTTTCATATATTTATAAAAAGGACTGCCTTTTAAAACTTGCATTGAAACAGGTATGTAAATTACAGTAATAGAATAGAAAGCCCAGAAATAAACATATGCCTATATGTATGGTCAATTAGTCTATAACAAAGGAGACAAGAATATACAATGGGGTAAAGAATATGCAATGAGATCTCTTTGATAAATGGTATTGGAAAAACTGGACAGATACATGCAAAAGAATGAAACTGGATCACCTTCTTATACACAAGAATAAACTCAAAATTGATTAAAGACATAAATGTAGACATAAAACCACAAAACTCCTAGAAGAAAATATAGGCAGTACGCTCTTTGACATTGCTCTTAGAAATATTTTTTTTTGATAAGGCCCCATTGGGCAAGGGAAACAAAATAAAAAAACAAATGGGACTACATCAACCTAAAATGTTTTTGCACAGCAAAGCAAACCATCAACAAAATGAAAAGAACCTACTGAATGGGAGAATATATTTGTCAATGATACATTTGATAAAGGGTTAATATCCAAAATATATAAAGAACTTATACCATTTAACACATGCGTGCAGAAAAAAAAATCCTCAAACAATATAATTAAAAAAATGGGCAGATGACCTGAATAGACATTTCTCCAAAGAGGACACACATATGGCCAATAAATACATGAAAAGATGCTCAACATCACTAATAACCAGAGAAATGGCAAATTAAAGCCACAACGGGATTATCACCTCACACCTGTCAGAATATTGTTAATAAACCAACAAACAAGTGTTGGCGAGGACATGGAGAAAAGGCAACCTACATCGGCTGCCGGAGGGGGTGTAAATAGGTGCAGCCGCTGTGGGAAACAGTGTGGAGGTTTCTCAAAAACATAAAAATAAAATTAATATGACCCAGCAATTCCACTTCTGCGTATTTATTTTTAAAAATCCAAACACTAATTCAAAATATGCACCTCTATGTTCATTGCAACGTCATTTATAATAGCCAAGATATGGAAGCAACGTAAGTGCCTGTTGATAGACAATTGGATAAAGAAGATGTGATACATTTATGCAGTGGAATGTTACTCCATCATGAAAAAGAATGAAATCTTGCCATTTATGACATGGATGGACCTAGAGGGCATTACGCTAAGTGAAATAAGTCATACAGAAGAAGACAAACACCGTAACATTTCACTTACATGTGGAATCTAAAAATCTAAGTAAATAGATAAAACAGAAATAGACTCATAGATACAGAGAAAAGATTGGTGGTTGCCAGATGAGAGGGGGCTTGAAAGGATGGGGGGAAAATGTCAAGGGATTATGAAGTACAAATTGCCAATTATAAAAACAGTCATGGGATGTAAACTTACAGCATAGGAAATATAGTCAATAATATTATAGTAACTGTATTGTATGGTGTCAGATGGGTACTAGACTTACCAGAATGATCACTTCATAGTTATATAAATGTCTCATTACTATGTTGTATACTTGACACTAACATAGTATACATCAACTGTAATTGAAAGATTTTTTTAAAATTTTAAAACATTGTTAACGAAATGAAAAAAAAAAAAACCCAAACCTGTCTTTTTAAAAAGCTGACTCAAGAAGTTAAGCTCTATAGAATTTTCTTTGCTGGAGGAAATATGCAAATGACAGACTCTCCACCAGGTGGGGTACACAGAAGCAACAGGGGTGGGGGAAGGGACAGGAGGTTGTCTTCTGTTAGGAAGGGTATGGGCTTCTAAGGTCTAGAAGCAGCAAATCCAAATGTCAACTGAGGCTGGGAATGTCTGGGAGTACCCTGCACCTGAAGAATGCTTGTGCTTCTTCCCAGGTAGGTGCTGTGCTAACTAAGCAGAGAAGCACTGAAGGAGGGAACTAATTAGGGGTGGGGCGGGGGTGGGGCGGGGGTGGGGCGGGGGAGTCAGAGGGAAGAGGGAGAACTGTGAGTTTGATTTGGCTCTCAAAACTGGTCACCATTTTTACAACTAAACATTTTCAACTTTGTCTACCTAAGAAATTTTTCAGACACATGTGTCTTTAGACTCATAATTACTGACAAAAACAGAATTCACTTCCAAAAACTACCTTGTATTTGGAAGTACATAGTCCACAAATATATTTCATACAGTAGCTCTCCCTGACCTCCGTGAATGTTCACTACTTGGTAAAAAGGAAAAGATTTTCATGTCAGGAACTAACCTCAGGAACTTAAAATAGGCAGCATAGCATGACAGAAAACATTCTGGCTTAGGAATCAGAAGACCTGCATTCTGGGCCCAGCCCACCATTATTTTGCTGTGTGTGCCTCGGTATCCTCAATTGCAAAGTCAGAAAAACAAAACAGAACAAATTCAGCTCAAGCTC